AACGATTAATTGTTAATTTTATATATATATATGTTTTCTAATTAATTCTATTCCGCCGTTAAGTGATAGTGTAATGGATCTGAAGGGATAATTTTCACGAAGTTTATTTTTAATTACAAAGCAATGTCTAATTGACTAATAGAAGCCCTGGGGAGCTACCGGTAAGCATTATTACGAAGTCAATTATTATTATCACTAATGAGTTGAAGTATGAGAGGGAAAGGAGTTTGATTGAAACAACTATGAACACTGAAAATTAACTGACTAAAATCCGGAAGCAACAGAGAACGTGGGAGTTTTTATGGAGCACTGGCAATTCAGGATATCGTGTCAGAGTTTGAATTTCTCCATGAATGGTGGAAGCTATCGGAGAAGCCTCAGATGGTTAGAGGTATGAGCTATCCCCGAGTCAACTTCACTTGGTAGCAGAGCTCATTTTGAGTTGGTCCATGGAAACCCAGTTCTGCGGTGATGGCAACCTCGACATACGAATTGAGCCCCGTGGTTTTGACTTAACTCCTTCAAAATCTGGACCTCGAAACTATCTTACAAGTACTTGTAAGACAGTTTGCACGGAAGTGTATTCTCACTTGTTGGTAGAACGGTTGGGAGATGATGTTTCTCCTTTGCCAGCTCTTCACTCATCCGTCACCAGTTCTAATCCCCGTCCTCTTGTTTCTTTGCTTGTCGTTTTATTTCGGTGCGGGTGGAGTCTGAAGGGTTGAATTCGTGAAACATTTCTGTCATTAACGGGGCACTTGATGACTCGAGTATTAAGATTCAAGCTCTAGACTTGTCGAAATGAATTGGGCAACACTACTCACACGGTAAGCAATTCGTTGAATTCTCTTTGACGATTGTAACTGAATTCTCAACGTTGTGGAGTTTAATTTACTTTAAGATTGTATTGTGCGTGGGAAGGCTCATTTATCTTGAAAATTCCAATCTCCAGATCTAAATAGATCGAGACATGCTGATAATTGAAATAACCTTTTATACAACTCGTAAACAACTGTGGAAAAAAGGGTTTCAACTAAAATTTCGATATAAGCCCTAAATTCTGAGATAATCATTCATGACTGCCGGAGAAAATGGACGAAAGATTTTTTTCAATGTTCCATGAGTACAAAAGTCCTGCAAAGTGTTATTCATCTCGATCGGAATCTGTGTAATTATTTCTCTCTAAATTTATCAAGAATACCGTATTGTTAGGTAAAAAAGAACGGTGTTATGCATATTTCAACAAATTATCTGCTGAAATTGTCAGTAATGTTGGCTGAGCCCACGGTAGGGTAAGAAGAACCCTCATAACTCTCGCCCGAAACTTTTTTCACCTCCCGCCATATCCAAGTGTTGAATCGCAATTCAGGCACTAGTGGTAAAAGACAAAACGTACAGCCCTGACTTCTTGGCAGCGGTCACGCCAACTTTGCAAAAATTGAATAGATACCGTGAGCGAGGGAAAAGCTCATACACTTGCCAAGTTTTTCTAGAACACAGGAGTATGGAAACTCAGTGATAAATTATCTCCGAACTTCAATTTTATTTCTGTAATAAGTGAAAATGGAGCGGACGATTATCCTCCCAGAGATTCATAATGAAAATACTGAAATGACGCGGAGATTTCCATGGAAAAATCCTTGAAAAATAAATATCTCCACATTCATGTGTCATAATTGTCACAGTAATGATAGAAAATGCCATTCTAAAAACATTAATACTTTTCTAGAGTAAATGTGCATTTCAGGAGTGGTGTTTACTTTCAATTACCAAATTATGATGTTACAATAAACTTTTAATTAATTTTAAAGACAAAGATATGAATCTGAACTCTCCCCACTCGTATATCGAAAATCAATTGCTGTAATTGTTTCGCACAATTTTCAATTCTCCATTGCGAATTTATTTGACGCTTCACGGATAAAGGAAACACTTCATGGTTTCAGAATGGAAATTCTTCGATTGAAAAAAGCTGATGCCCCGCTTCGACATAAATTACTCTCGGTTGTAGAAATTGGTACTTTATGATATCATGAAAATTTACCTCTGATAAATTTCTATCAACCCACCAATGGATATCTCAACTCGATAATTCAGAGGACGTCGCGAACCACCGCGAACCGAACGTGCAATATTAATAGGTTCACCCCCGAAATTTAATATCGAAACTGGAAATAATTAGACTTAACAGTTGGATATCCCAATACACATCTCAATAACGCCTAGTACGCCCCATGAAATTGGATGACTCGCCTGATTAGAATGATCCATGTAACCCGATTTCGAAATAATTACCTTAAATTATGTAAAATCGATGGATAATCTGCATTGCCATCGCTCTGTTGCTCATACGGAATAGTGAGGCGCCACTTGTCAGTCCCTAAATTGCTCCAAACCCTGTAGAATTTCAATTTCCCCCAATTTCCACTGAAATGAATCCACTCAAACTCGTCACTAATAACGATTGAATTTATTTTCCCAGATTGTACGATTTTTTTTTCAATTCAATTACACCATAACTTAATTAATTATTCTCACAGGATAAATATAATTCCATCAATTCTTTCTTTTTGGCCTACAGACATCCTGGAAAGGGGTCCACCCGATTTTTTCTCAGCAAGAACTGAATTTTTCTGTTCATGTCTTCGTCGTACAATGCTTTGCACCTCTCGTAGTTAACTCTTCTTCGTACTTGAGTCGGCTTTTCGTAGAACCTGCACCTTCGGTATTGTTCAAGAAGTCCCTCACCCCCCAAAATTCGATTCAACAGTCGAAATGCACTGTCAACGTTTCCGTCTCGCACCAGGATTGTTCGAGAGATAAATGGCGTGTGTCTCATCCTGGAATTTCGACAGATTAATCACTTAAAGTCATCACATAAGTGGGTAATCTTTATGGGAAATTCAGAGGATTTCGCCAAGTCGCTGTACAAATTCATCGATGAACTGGGAAAGTCAGCCAAATCGAACTTAAACATCATTTGATGTGCCCCATGAAAAATCGAGGAGATTGAACTTATTAAATTTAATTGTTTATTTAAAAAAAACAGTTCTTTTTTTATCAATCTATTTCTTGATAAATCCACTTTGATAAAAATTTACAATTTTGTTTATGCGCAAAAAGGAGGGATGCAAATATCAGATGATTAGAGTTCAAGTTAGAAAAAAACTTTTTGGCAGAAATTATGCGGGTAAATGACGAAAGCTTTGAAATCGTTTATTCTCCATATTATTAAATAGACTTTTACTTTCACTTCTAATTGACACAATAAAAAAAAGGGATAACCAATGAAGACTTTATGAATGAAGACAAATGAAGATTTTATCAGGTTAAGTAATTATAAATGGTCACACGTTGGCTAAAATAATTTGTCATTTCAAGAAATAGGATATCCATATAGCCAATATATCCAATATATGACCTCAATGCATCCCAAGTCGACATTTAATTATTAATACCATAAAACTTCACCCACCTGCTAGATTTGTTTACTGGAAAATTCTCAACAATCAATCACAAATACTTTTTACAGGTTATGAGACTTCCAGCTGAAAGCCATATGGAAGGAATCTAAGTCTCCGACACATGTCAATTATTAGAAAATTGACGGATTTTATTACCGACAGCGGAAAAAAATGCACATCCATAATATTACCCGATAATAAAATGAAACTCTTTTAAATCGATCGAAGGTAACTTCCCCTGGAAGAATCGTCTCAAAGAGGGTTGACTAAAGTAGAGGCTCAGTTCTGGGGGTTTGAGTGACCCCGGCGGCATCGTACTGCACCCCAAGAGAGGGAGGGCGCTACACGCAATGGGAGGATCGTCCCGGTTGGTATTCACCGAAATTGAAAAATGAAAAATTTTGAAAAAAGTATCAGAGGAGCATAGAAATGGAGGAGGTTCTCACTGAAATTTGAAATTCCGAAATTTTTCGAAAAGTATCAGGGGAGCATGAAAATCGAGGAGGTATTCGCTGAAATTTGAAAATTCGAAATTTTTGAAAAAGTATCAAGAGAGCATGACAATTGAGGAAGTATTCACTGAAATGTGAAAATTCGAAATTTATGAAAAAGTATCAGGAGAGCATGAAAATCGAGGAGGTATTCACTGAAATTTGAAAATTCGAAATTTTTGAAAAAGTATCAAGAGAGCATGACAATTGAGGAAGTATTCACTGAAATGTGAAAATTCGAAATTTATGAAAAAGTATCAGGGAAACATGCAAATTGAGGAGGTATTCACTGAAATTTGAAAATTCGAAATTTTAAAAAAGTATCGGGGGAGCATGGAAATCGACGAGGCATGCACTGAAATTGAAAAATTCGAAATTTTCAAAAAAGTATCAGGAGAGCATGACAATTGAGGAAGTATTCACTGAAATGTGAAAATTCGAAATTTTTGAAAAATTATCAGGGGAACATGAAAATTGAGGAGGTATTCACTGAAATTTGAAAATTCAAAATTTTCAAAAAAAGTACCAGGGGAGCATGAAAATCGAGGAGGTATTCACTGAAATTTGAAAATTCGAAATTTTTATAAAAATATCAGGGGAGCATGAAAATCGAGTAGATATTCACTGAAATGTGAAAATTCGAAATTTTTGAAAATTTTCCCGAAATTTCCGTCAAAATTCCTGTTCTCTAGAACAATTTTCAACTTTCCCTGAAAAGCTTGGTCACCCCACGATTACGCGAAGATTCCGTAATTTTTTTCGAGTATTATTCTCTCCGTGTAATATTAAAAATTCCCGTATTGGGTAGGAAAAACCTCAAGCCAGAGGGTAAAAACAAAAACAAAGGCGACAGGGTTGTCGAACGCGGTAGTTGGTGGTGTTGTGCTTGCGGGTATAAATGCGAAAGGCCATGGGTTCGTGTTGTGGAGCTTGCGCGTAAGTTGCGTTTAGCTTGCGCGAGGGTTGCGCGGAGGTTGCGCGTAGGTTGGGTTGAGAGGCGCGTCCTGGCCGCGGTTCATCCGGAACGCCAAAACGTACTCGTCTACGTGCCACCGAGGACGATTGTACGTCGCGTCAGCAACAACAAAAAAAAATAATAACCGCAGTACAAACCGCACCACCACCAAAACAAATAAGCTCAGGCCGTTGAGCTTATTGTGAATTTGAATAACCGGCACCAGAATGTAATAAACGCGCAACTACGGAAATCAGTGCTCGAGTAGAACAAAGGGTTGAAAAGCTCAGGAGAAATCGACCAATGACTTGAATCAGAGGAATCAACTTGTTCGCGTTGATTACGTTCTGCTGAGGAATACCCCAATCTACAACGTCCGAGCAACCGAGAGCATCTGATTCAGGTAAATTAGCAAATTAAATCCGATACATTCGCGGAGATTTATAAATTCGTAATTAAAATGGCAATTTTTCCGCAGATTCGATATTTACTTGAAGAATTTTTTCGTTCGAATTTCGCATTTGAAATTCGATGTTCCTCAGTGGGACATTCATTGGCAAATTTGCCCTGACTTTCTAGAAACAAACCAGAAGTCTCTGGTAGAAAATGTTTATGGTGAAAAATAATTATGTTTAACGATATATCACTATTGTTTTTAAAGAGGTAGAGGTAATATAAATCCCACGAAGGACAGAACACATCTGTGAATCTGTCCCAAAAATTATAATATTCCGAGGAAAAATTCAATCTGTTCATGAAAATTTTGTTTAAAAAATTGTGATTTTTCCGAAAAAAAATGTCAGGGTAAATTCTAGACACTGAATTCCCTGTGAAACGAAATAAATTCCGTTCTTTCTCGTTGCCGAAGTCACGTTGGGTGTCACTCACGTGAAAATTGGTAGTCGATCGTCCATAAAATTTCCCCTTTGTTTTATTGACCAGTGAAGTAAGGGCCGATTAACTTCAGTTGCTGAGCTTCTTCAGGGCTTTTTCCCCCTAGATTCCTGGCAGGTACCGAGTGTGATACCTTGGGCGCAGGCTTCCTCCTCAAATATAAACACTCAAACGGTCGATGACTGCCTGATTTACCCTGTAATATATAATATCCCCCGATTGTTGATCTAAGCCACTCACATATTCATCTAGACTTTTTCAACCCAAGGTTTCACGTGCTCTCAATACGCATTTGTTTACTATTTATCGGTGGAATGTCGGTTAACAGGTGATGGCAATCAGCTCAACGGGTTAAATTATTCAGTTTTATTTGGCCCCGGTGTGTAGCGAGTATTTCAATGACAAGACGACAGAGGCAGATACGTTGGAACTGGTGCACCTCAGGCTCTACACTGACAAATATTTACCCTGACACTGTACATTCCCTTAGCACTCGAGTTTTCCTAGTTAATTTTTAATGCAATCGTGAAACGCTTTCGAGATTGTTGGAAAAATGTTTGTAAAAATTGGAATGACCTACATAAAAAGTTGCGATGTAAAAAAATGTTGTTGAAGTCGCGGTGTGAAAGCTACGACGAAGCAGTGACATGGAGCTTTTAAATATTATACACCTTTTATCTGGTGTACCTGATAGCTCTTTTTTATTTCACTCGTAAATATGATGACGCATTAGGGAGTCTCGAAAGGGCACTTCATGGTATCACATCACTAATGCATCTGCCCGCCATATGGTAAATTTAATTCCAATTCTAGAGCAATTTGCCACACAATCTGCTGTCTGCTTTGGGATTTTTACTTTTTTTCCTTTTATTTGGTGGGATTTCTAGATGTTGTTCACGTGTATCGCGAATTGGAATATCCGAGGATGTACGAGATGTTTCTGGCTGGGCGCCAGTACTTGGAAATAACTTGAAAACATGTTGGGATTTTGGTGGATCTGCCATTCAATGGGTTGAGGTGGATTTTAGGTCGTTTATCAATCTCGGAGATGAGGTTGTGGGGGGAATGAGTTCTGGGTGATGGTGATCGAAGTGTGGGGGTGGTGGAGATTGGTGACTGTTGATTAGTGTTCGTGGATTCGATCAATCAGGATGGGATTGGGATGGGATGGGTGGATGTGGTGCTGTGGGATTTCGGGATGTCGGGGTTGGGGTGAACCTCGGGATCATTTATTCATCGATGGGGGCATAATCGGGGGGGACTCAATGCTTCGGTTGTCCGACACTGTGCTAAAAATGAATTTCGTGGGCATCAGCCAAATGGCTGTCTTGCGTATTTGTAAAGGCCAAAAATTCCATGCATCAACGGTTTGTTTCGTTGGTGAAAAGCGGAATATCAACGGCCAGTGTCATACATATTTTCTAGGTCACATCGTTTTTTTTTTATTCCGTTTGGGGACATTAGTGATCGGGGGAAAAGACATCTTGAGGTTATAAAGAAAGTTTTTAGATTTATGAAAACTCGTTTCTTCATTTAAAAAGTTTTGTTTCGTTGAGGAATAGGTTTTTATATGGAGAAGATATTAGTCACTTGCCTTCTCCAAGTTTTAATAGTAATAGTTATCGAGAGAATGAACTCAAGGTCAACATCCTCACGAGCAATATAATTTTTGTTATTCAAACTTAATTATTCTTGGGGACTGACTCGATTGAAGACATAAAAAATATTAAAACCGTTCGAAGTATTTACTTTCATAAAAATGTAAATAAAGTAACGGCAAAAACACTATATAAAAGTAAAAAATTGAAATGAAAATCTTGAATTGATATAATTTTGAAGTGAAGTGGTAAAGGCTAATCAGACAAGAGAAGTAATTTTTGGACGGATATCTCTGGATCTGAGGAACAGTAAAACTTCTGCAGTTACTTTTTTGTAGCTGTTCTTTCGCTCTAAAAAAAAGTTATCAAAAAAAAATTATTAAGTCGAGCCATTAACCTTCACTACTTTACTACCGAATTAATAATTCTGGAGTACATCGTGGAATTTTTTCCTGTGTACTGCTTACTTGTAACAATTACTCCAGAATTCTTTTTCACAGAGTAAAAAAGAATCTTTGAAACCAGTGAGGAGGTCTTTTATTCATAGGACCGCAGGCACATTAATTTCCATTAGCATAAAGTCCTAGAATTAAGTGACTCTTTTTTTTTCACGAAATGAGAAATCCTTTTGCTTTGTGTGGTTGAATAAAAAAATATTCTCTCGGGTGATAGTCGAGGAAATATATTGGCTTGTTTTTCTCGTTTTTTTTGTGCTTTTCTTTTCTTTTTATTGAATACTTGGGGGACATTCCGCAGAAGATTCCGTATACCTGGTTGGGTCCATAGAAAACTCTTGGATTCGACCGAAAATAAAAGACGATGGGAAAATGGAGGTCAGGGATGGGAATAGTCCGATGTTGTGTATGAGGGTGAGATATCAGGTCAGTCCCATTAATTAATCACTTAGACAGTCTCTAATAATAATCTCCTAATGGTAGTCCAAGTCCAACAAATTGAATATTTAGGCCATTGACTGAATAATCTCCTAATTCAACATAATTTTCATCCTTGAAATTTAGTTTACAAATGATGCTCGAAAAATGTATTTTCTCGTAAAAACAATATAAAAAATATATCGAAAATACAAATAATATTTATCCTCGACTAAAATCCAAAACAATACAGTTATACCGAACACTGATTATTCTAAATAATCAATTGAATAATTCCCACTGATAATGTTTGTCATCAAAGTTCATTTAATATTATTTATTGAATAATAATCTTCGAGTTCAACATGAATTAATCTCAAAACGAGAAATCCTTTCGCACGGTATTCGCGGTAGAATGAAAAAAAATGTTCTTTTCGTTTATTGAATACTGGAAGAAGATTCCGGAGGAAATTCTGTATAGGTGGCTCGGTGGAAAACCCTTGGATTTGACCGAAAATAAAAAGAGATGGGAGAAGGATGGAGATCGGGGATGGGAATAGTCCGATGTCGTGTATGATGGTGAGATATAAGGGCAGTCGATTGAGAGAAGTGAGGTGAAAATAAGCGTGGAACATGCTAGGGTATATGGTACATGGCCATGTAAGCTGAGACACGGAAGGGATGAGCGTGGATATCGATCGATCATTGGAATTTCACGCCTCTCGAGATATCGTTAAGTGCACTATGCCTTTGCCCGGTTATTGCGGGATTCTTGTGGTTTTATCTGTACCCCCTCTTTGGCGACCTTTTCATTATGATTTTTATCAATAATAGGGGAGTAAACAGGTCAATTTGGATTTTCAAATGAATCCGGGACACCGAACGCAAATATTCAGTAGAAATTAGCTGTACCATTGTCGGTACAATTCTGTAGGGAACAGGTAATACTTGGATAATTGCATTTTTTTTCGAGGCTAGTTATTAGCCAAATATCGTAATTGAAGAAACATCACGTATTTTTCATACAAGGGGATTTTTTTATGGATGAGAAAAATCGTTGGTTATGATTGAGAAATTTGTGGACACATCACCAGAAATTACTCACCATTTTGCCAACAAATTTTTTTATGGTCTTAGAATTGAACATTAAAATAAATATCAATATGGAAAAAAAATTAGAAGCTCTTGTCGGAATACATGGAAAATTTTTTGTCTGTTGAGAATGATTTTGTCGCTTATTAATTGACGATTTATTGGTAAAATTAGAAATATAAAGGAGTCAAAAGCGACGTAGACCAACTGGAGGATATACTAACTTCAGTGTAAAATTTGCATAATAAGTTTTAAAACTGAAGCTGTCTTTAAATGATATCGAATTTCACGGTGAATGAGACCTTTCACGAACTGTGCGATAGTAAATTGAATTAAACTCGACAGCATCGAGAATTTAGTAGCAACAGTTGCTGGAAATTATCCAAATATCTAGGGATGTTGATTATCACCCGATCTGCGAAATTGAAGATACTGAAATTGCGCCTTTCCTTTTCACGGAAGAAGGAAAGAGAGGGCACCAGATTTACACAGTACAGTCGTGTTCTCTCACGAATCGTCCTATAATATGTTGAATTTATGACACTGCAAGAAACTTCCCCCTAGACATTTCCCAGAGAAAGAGGAAATGTTCTCGGAATCCCAAGATACCTTTTGTCCAACCATCTTGCTCCAAAAAAGCTATTCATCCTCATCCCCAGGACACCATAACTACCTCGGCTCTACGTCTTGTATCGATCTCATCCCAACAGAATTCTATTGTCACATCCACCCTTTTCCTCCCAACAAAGTTTATCAAAAATTACACTCAGAAATACTACTCAGAAAAAAATTCATCTTTAACAAAAATAAACTCAACCATGACAATTTATCAGGTTCATCTTAAAAATGGAATATCAAATATAATTCTATCTCGAAGATTTTCCAGATTTTTCTGCGGCGTAGTGGAAATTGGGAATCACTTGCATATCAAAGAAATTATACATTTG